CCCCCCCCCCCCCCCGCTTTATTGCAGGCATCTACCAGTGTGGCCTGGCTTCCCGGGTGGCCATCAAGGAGGGAGATGTGGACCTGGGCTACGAATGCCCCTTCATCTTTGCCGAGGTCAATGCTGACGTCGCTTTCTGGACCTTGTACAATGCTTACCAGATAGTGAAGAAGGCTTCCCCAAACACCCGGCATGTGGGCCAGTCCATAAGCACCAAGGCTGTGGGCAGATTTGCTCGCCTTGATGTCACCGATGATTACAAGTACCCAGAAGGTGAGAGGAGTCATTGAGCAGAAAGGTATAAAGGAAGGGCGTTGAAGGCCTCTAATCAGCAGGTGGAAACATTGGGCTTGGGCCATGGCCAGAACGTGCCTTCCACTGGACCAGCTGGGTGCACCCAGATCTCTTTGGAAGGGGGTCTTCCAGGTTATGGTGTGCGTGGGAGACCATCTGGAAAAAAGGACAGAAGGTGGGACTGAGGGAAGGGCAGAGAGAGAGAGAGAAGGAAGACCTTGAGTAGATGTTAGAAGAAATGTCTTGAGAACAAGAGTCATTTGGCAATGGGATCTTTGCCGAGAGAGCGGTGGTGCCTCCCTCTGGACACCTTCAAAAGGAGAAGGGAAGACACTATTGCTGGAGATGCTCTGGCTGGAGATCCTGCGGCTTCTTCTTCTTTCTAAGCTATTTTCCCAATGGTGAGCATGGTGACTATCGTTTCCACGGGGCTTTGTTTTGGGCACCCTCAGGTCTCAGATTGGCAGCATGCATGTCTTTGTGAATGGTGTCCATCCATCTTTCCTTTGGCCTTTGTTGTCCACGTGGTCACCATCCTGCAATCTCCAAATGGAGTGCTGTTTGTGCTCCTGATGTTGGTTCTCTTCTATGACGTGGTTGTACCACCATAGTCTTGCTTTCTGCATTTTCTTGCTGGTCGCTTTTATTCCAAGACAGATGTCATGATTTGGCACATGGTCAAGAAGTCTCAAGCCAAGTGTCCATCTCAGCTTTTTCATTTCCATTGTGTTAAGGGCTTGTGTATGTGTCCTTGTTGCTGGCCAGCACTCTGCCCCATTGAGGGAGGGCTACTGGGTGAACCACTGCAATGTAAATCTTAGTCTTGAATTGTTCAGACATTTTTGAGTTGCACACAATGCCAGTAGTTTGCCGCCATTTTAACAAGGCTACATGTATTCATGAGTGTACATCTGGCATTGTGTTGATATCTATGGGGACCAGTGACCATCTGTATTTAAACTGGGTGGCCTTCTTTAGTGCCTTTCCATTGACTTGAATAGTTCTTCCATTTGAAGGACACATTCCAAGTACTCTGTTTTGGGTCTGTTCAAGCTGAAGTCCATTTTCACTGAGTCTCTCACTCCATGTCTGCAGCTGTGGCCAAGTGCTATGTCATCTGCATATGGGAATGTCCAGGGATGCATAGTCTGCAAGTCTGCCATAGTAGCATCCATGAGAGTGCTGATCCCTGATGCACACCAACAGTGATGTTGAAGCAGGGTGACCATACTTGTTGTATTATTGTTGGTTTATCTTCTGGTGTTCCAAAGTCTTCTGGTGTTCCTTGTGACCGTAGCGCTCACCAGATCAGGACTTGGGGAACACGAACAAATATATTGTCGAAGGCTTTCATGGCCGGAATCACTGGGTTGTTGTAGGTTTTTCCAGGGTTATATGGCCATGTTCTAGAGGCATTTTCTCCTGACGTTTCACCTGCATCTATGGCAAGCATCCTCAGAGGGCCATATAACCCAGAAAAACCTACAACAACCCAACACGAACAAATGCAATATGCAACAATATTGAATGCAATATTCCTGCTTCTTGGCAGAATGGGGTTGGACTGGATGGCCCATGAGGTCTCTTCCAACTCTTTGATTCTATGATTCTATGAAATCCTTTTCCGAATGCAAAGCGCAGTGTTTTCTTATTTTCCGGATGTTTCTCCATGAGTAACCGGACAGCATAGATTGCATCTAGTGTGCCACACCCCCTGAGAAAGTCACACTGATTTGACTGGAGGTCCTGCATTGAGCAGAATGGGGCTGGGCTCCACGGACTCTGGGGACCCCTTCCAATTCTTCTGTAGCAGTCAGCGGAAAAGAATGATTATAAAAATATATTTAAAAAATGAAATAGGAAAACTTACCTTGAAATACTAGCGAAGGAGTGTTTGCGGCAGGGAGAAGCGAAATGTTCCATAGACGAAAGTAAGGGCTTCAGAGATCAAGGAAGTTAAATATTAACGGGAACATGACATTTGGGAAACAATAATAAAGTGAGATGTTTATCATCAAGGGAATGTTTCTGGCAACCAGACAAGGACGCTTGTGTAGATAATTGATCTGAGGCTGGAAAAGGTCAGAGCAACATCTGGTGGTTCAGTGAGGTAAATAGCAGGTAACTTACGAATATGGGAATAATTAAGATTTGAAACAATTATAAGTACGTCAATATAATATGTCATTGTGATGTATGGGAAAAGGTAATGCGAAATACCTCTGTTAATGTTTATATCTGTGTAAATGTCATGGCAATTGTGCGCATGTCTGAACTAGTGAATTTTGCTATAAATATTGTAAGCTGACTGACTTCTAGTACGCTTCAGATCATGCTTCTGAGCGTCCTATCATGATAGTAAATATGCCTGGAATCAAATTTGCAGTCTCCGTCTCCTTCCTGCTTGATTGTGCTCTAAAATGATCCCGGGTAGCAAATCTGCCGCGACAAATGGGGGCTCGTCCTGGGATCGGAGCCAACAAGGAGAAGTATAGAGACGAAACCTTTTGAGGGTTTGATTGCCCCACTCAGCGGGTCGGGTAAGACGATGATCAGAAGGGGCGATACGGGTACCCATTGAGAGAAAACGACCCGGCTGATCTTCGCCTTCCCTGCCTCCAGACTGGGGTACATTGAGAGCTTTGATTCCATGGCACAGGTAAAGGAAAAGGCCTTAAAAAGGGGTACATTGGAAGTACCTGGGGAATATTTCACTGTGGGATTGCTGCAGAAATCAAGTGAAAACCCCCCGAGTGATTGTTTTCGCTACAGAAATCACACTCACAGGTTGGAGGAATACCCTTTCAGGGGGAAAGTGATAAGTCTGTTTTATGTTTTGTGGTTGTCTTGGTTAATGGTGTTTGTGTTCATATGTTTTACCCCTTCTTGCACACATTTGTGTATCAATGCCTGTTTTTGTTGTGGAGATGTGTATAATGAAAAGAGACAAATGGTTTCAGGCTTCCGGGAAAAAGCCAAGATGGAAAAGAAAAGAAAAATGAAAAATGAGAAAAATGAGAGAAAAAAGGAAACGCTACGTACAATGTGATGAAATGGTGCCTGTCTCTTGGGACAAGGAGAAAAATGTTCGTTTACATTTTCTGGACAACTTGAATGTATGTGGATGGCTAGCCAAAAAGGAATGTGTGGAAACTGTTTGTGTTGGGAAAAAAATATAATCTTTACAGGTTTCAAATAAAAAGAAAAAGAGGATAAATTCAGGAAAAATACACATGATGATGGAAAATGCCAAGTCTATATGTTTTCATGTGGGTAAGCAAAACCAAGAAGAAAATTAAAAGGTATGTGAAGAAGGTATGTGTAGGGAAAGCAGGGAAAAGCAAGTCAGAATAAGAGAATAGGGTTAATACGGGAGAAAAACCAAGATGTGTAATTGCCTAGGACAAGGTAGAATTGAAAGGAGAAATGTAGCCAGAGAATATAGAGAAAGTGATACAGTAGGTGATGAAATAATAGGAAGAGAAATGTAAAGATCTAGCATGTGCTTAATAATAGAAACCTGAAATATTGAGATGTGAATGAATAGATTCCCTTTTTGAAAGTTTAGATAAATGTGTGGAAATATTGCAGTTTAGAATAAGTGAATGCATGTATGAAGACAGATTTGGATGCATCAAGACTGTTATGTGAGGTTGATTATGTTTAATTATATGTTTAAGCATTTGATGGGTTAAAAAGAGAAAATAATGTGTTGAGAGTATTCAAGAATGGCCAACTTGAATGCCCTCACTGGGAAAAGGGAAAGGAAAAATTTTTTGAAAAAGAAAAATTGAAACTGTCTCACACAGGAGAAAGGTAGTGACAATTTGAGATATATTTAAACATAGAAGATTTTGTGGGAAGAGCAGTGACAAATTGAATGTTATGATTGACATGTACACCCCTCTTAAAAGTCCAAAATGTCGGCAACTGAATTGATAAGTAGATGAGGGTAATATGATGTGGAAGTAAAGGGGAATTAAGCATTAAGAAGTACAAATTTTGGAAATGTTAGTGATTTTATGTTAGCCTGTTACAGTACCCTCTGTTGTGTTGGAAGACTCAGAGTGGCTGGGAAAAATTTTGGAAGAGTGATCCCTGTGAAAAAAAAAAATTGGAAATGGTCTATTGCTTGATGAATGTCCTAATGCTATGAGGGGAATGCCAAATTGCGGATGAATTAAGCCTGCTTAAAAAGGAGATCATACAGTGACTGACCCTGACTTACAATTTAGGAGTTGATCAACGGTATAAAGAACTAATTACAACGTACATAAATAAGAAGACAATTCAAAGACTTAAAAATATGAGAGGATAAAAGTTGTTCTGAATAAGAGAGAGAGAGCCAACATCTGTAAGAAGAAAGAAGATTGGATGGACTTTCAGGGTTGGGAGTGTGTTATTGTGGGACTCCTTATTATCTTGGGGTTGGTATGGATGTGTTACAATTACAGACATGTTTTTGGGGAAAAGCGTATTTATGTAGGCATGTGGTATATTTATTACCTGATTAAGTTGAGTGTACTCATCCCGAAGGTAGTACAAGGAGGGATGGGAACAAAAAAAACATATTCCATCAGATGAGTCAGGATATAGCAAAAGAGACAGAAGTTACTGAGTGTTGGATTTGCAGTCATGGGCCTATTTCCCAGCGTGAGGGATGGCCACTAATGGTAGGAAACGCTATTAAGTTAAAAAGGATGGAGCACCTTACAGCCTCAAAATTATGAGATCATTGAAATCTTACTTGATCCAGAGCAGAGCTATAGTGACACATAAAGGGATCTCACCAGAGGCCCCAGCATGTATCACTTGGGAAAGAAATGAGAGGGACACAAGATCAGGGAAAACCTTCTCCATACTCACCAAATAGAACTTGGTCATTATCCCTATTGCAATCTCCTTCTCCATGTATTTAAAACAGAGGCTTTCGAGGACATTAGCCTCTTAGCCCATTTAGAGCATTCTAAACGGATGGGAAAAATTTGATAGTGTTGTTTTACTAGAACTGGATACCCACATTAAACAGGCCCAAGCAAAAGCTGCCAGCAAAAGCCGTGACCAACCAAGGACCCCCAGCAGGGAGGTACCGCAGGGTCAAGGGGAACCCCCCAATGAGAGACCACCAAATGAAAGACCACAGCAGAGTCGAGGGGAACCAAATCCTGCCAAAGTGGTAACGGAGGTGGAAACCCGTCAGGCTGTGCCGAAAATCTCTGGTAGCAAAGGGAGGGTTCCCCCCCCAGGCTGTATCGGATTTGCGGGTAGTGGGCAGGAAAGATTTTGCCACCTTTTTGGGTTGGAACATGCACGATAGGTACCCTAATGCTAGCAGATGTGACAATAAATATAGAACAACCATCCTAAATGACTTGGAAAAGAGAACAGCGTTTAGAAAGAGCTTATGATGAAGAGGTTGGATATGATCCAGACAGAACTTATTTAAATGAAGGAGTAAGGTTGGGAGCCATTTTGTTCCCTGCTATGGGTTCAGTTTCAAATATAAGACAATTCGGGAAAAACTCTCAGCTCAAGTTGAAAAATTGGAAAGAAAACTGTGGTTGGAATAAGGGCTTTGCAGCTATAATGATAAGATCTCTTTATGAAGTTACAAAGGGGGGTGAAAGGGAACCATTTAATTGGACCCCAAATTTGCCCAAACATTTGCATAGTTGAAAGCAAGCTTTGATGCAAGCATCGGCCTTGGGCTTGTTTGAATTGAAGATGCCATTCATATTTTATGTTGGTGAATGAGATGAAATAACAGGAGGGGTGCATACCCAGCTATTAGGAACATGGCCGAGACCAGTAGCTTACTTGTCTAAGCAAATTGACCCTGTAGTAAAAGGTTGACCAACTGGTCTATGTGCTGTAGTTGCTATGGCCTGGTTGACTCAGGAAGCTGATAAATTGACTTTGGGACAAGAGTTGATAGTTAAAACCCTCATTCAGTAATGGCTATCATGAACTATAGAGGATATCATTGGTTCATAAATAGCCATATGCAAAAATATCAGATTTTATTATGTGAAAACTCTTAAATCAAGTTACAGACTTGCAGTATATTAAAGTCTGGTTCACTTCTGCTTGTTGAAAGGGAAATGCTTCAACATGATTGTTTAGAAATTATGTATGAGATATATTCCAATAGATCTGATATAAAAGATTAACCATGGCCTGAGGTAGATGCCACTCTTTTTACAGATGGAAGTAGTTTGGTTGAAAAAGGAAAAAGATATGCTGGATATACAATAATAACTATAACTACTGTGTGGGAAATAGAACCACTTCCTCTAAATGCTCCAGCTCAGAGGGCAGAACTGATAGCACTCATTAGAGCTCTGGAGTTATTAGAAGAAAAAATAGTCAACATGTATACAGATTCTAGATATGCATTCACTACCTTATATGCATGTGGAGCATTATATAAGGACAAGGGACTACTAAATTCTGTTGGGAGAAATACAACATAGTGAGACCATTTTGAAATTATTAGATGCTGTTTGAGTTCCTGCATCAGTAGCAGTAATGCACTGCAGAGTACATCGATGTGACGAGGAATGTGTGACCTATGGAAACTGGTAGGCTGATACCACAGCAAAGGCCGCGACCCGAAAGGGACGAGGAAAAGAGCTGGTCATAGCCCCTTTGCAGATAAAAGACTGGATACATTATACTAGAATAAGGAAAGCATCACTCGAAGGGACTGTGACTCTTGATCCAAAAGGATTCCTTTGAGACTTTGTATCATCAAACCAGCAGTGCCATGAGATCCAGAAGGAGGACTACGGCTCTGGTTTTGACTACATCTGAACGCGGGTTAAATACATCAGACAGAAGAATGAGGAGCACTGTGAAGATGCCAACGTGTATGGAACATTCTTCAATAACTGTGATAAATGATTGTGTTAAATGTTATTTTTTTTGCTAAAAATGTAATTGCGTGAGTTTGCGAGTCTACTGTGGAACATCCGCTCGCAAAAAGGGGGGAATGTAGCAGTCAGCGGAAAAGAATGATTATAAAAATATATTTAAAAAATGAATATAGGAAAACTTACCTTGAAATACTAGCGAAGGAGTGTTTGCGGCAGGGAGAAGCAAAATGTTCCATAGACGAAAGTCAGAGATCAAGGAAGTTAAATATTAACGGGAACATGACATTTGGGAAACAATAATAAAGTGAGATGTTTATCATCAAGGATAATTGATCTGAGGCTGGAAAAGGTCAGAGCAGCATCTGGTGGTTCAGTGAGGTAAATAGTAGGCAATATCAGTTAAGATTCTAAAGGGATTGCGAATATGGGAATAATTAAGATTTGAAAACAATTATAAGTACGTCAATATAATACGTCATTGTGATGTATGGGGAAAAGGCAATGCGAAATACCTCTGTTAATGATTATATCTGTGTAAATGTCATGGCAATTGTGCGCATGTCTGAACTAGTGAATTTTGCTATAAATATTGCAACCTGACTGATTTTCAAGTACGCTTCAGAGATTGTTCTGAGCGTCCTATCAACTTGATAGTAAATTTGCCTGGAATCAATTTGCAGTCTCCGTCTCCTTCCTGCCTGATTGTGCTCTACATGATCCCGGGTAGCAAATCTGCCGCAACAAATGGGGGCTCGTCCGGGATCGAGCCGCTGTGCCCCTGCATGATAGCCATGTATAAATATAGAGAATCCTCATGGGCCATCCAGTCCAACCCCATTCTGCCAAGAAGCAGGAATATTGCATTCAAAGCACCCCCGACAGATGGCCATCCAGCTTCTGTTTAAAAGCCTCCAAAGAAGGAGCCTCCACCACACTCCAGGGCAGAGAGTTCCACTGCTGAACAGCTCTCACAGTCAGGAAGTTCTTCCTCATGTTCAGATGGAATCTCCTTTCTTGTAGTTTGAAGCAGAGAGTTCCACTCAAGCCATGTATAGAAACAGATGGCCCATGGCCCTCCTCTGCGCCATTTGGGGGGTGGTCCTGATGGGCTTTGACCCTTGGCTCTCCCCCTTTCAGGCACCGACAAGGAATGGGAGACCTTCCTCAAGGCCCGGGACAAGCTGAAATCAATGGCCAGTCCCGCCATGGCCATGCCCGCCCTGTTTCCGGATGCTCCCCAGCCAAGAGTGACCGGGAAGTTCGAGGTCAAGAGCCACCTCGAGGTCGGCCAGGATGTGGAGCTGGTCCTGCAACTGACCAACCTCGCCCCTGAGGCCACTACCCTGACGGCCAACATGAATGCCTGGACCACCATCTACACCGGGAAGGCCATCCATGAGGTCTGGAAGGACTCCCTCGCCCTGACGCTCGGCCCCAAGGAAGGTAAACACTGTTACGGAGAGCTATTCCGATTCTCCATCGTCCATTTCTTTTCGTCCTTGCACCCCCAGGCATTGATTGCTTGTCCTGCCAGAATCGTGACCCAATGCCAAAACCCGATCTGGGAACTGAGGGGTCTCAACCTTCCTAATGCCGCGACCCCTTAATACAGTTCCTCCTGTTGTGGTGACCCCCAACCAGAACATTATTTTCATTGCCACTTCAGAACTGTAATTATGCCACTCTTATGAATCATCATGTAAATATCTGATAGGCAGGATGTATTTTCATTCATTGAACCCAATTTGGCACAAATACCCAATATGCCAAAATTTGAATACTGGTGGGTTGGGGGGTGGGGATGGGTACTGATTTTGTCATTTGGTAGTTGCTGTTTCTGGGATTTATAGTTCACCTACAATTAAAGAGCATTCTGAACTCCACCAATGATGGAATTGAACCAAACTTGGCACACAGTTCTCCCATGACCAACAGAAAATACTGGAAGGGTTTGGTGGGCAGTGTCTTTTGGTTTTGGGAGTTGTAGTTCACCTACATCCAGAGTGCACTGTGGACTCAAACAATGATGGATCTGGACCAAACTTGGCACAAATACTCAATATGCCCAAATGTGAAAACTGATGGAGTTTGGGGAAAATAGACCTTGACATTTGGGAGTTGTAGTTGCTGGGATTTATAGTTCACCTGCAATCAAAGAGCATTCTGAACCCTGCCTACAATAGAATTGGGCCAAACTTTGTTGTTTGGGGGAAGTGATACTCAAGAAGATAAAAAGAAAGAAAGACAGAAAGAAAGAAAGAACGAAGTGATGGGTCTCCCAAGGGAGAGAGGGCAGGATAGAAATAAAGTTTTTATATATATATATATATATATATATATATATATATATATATATATAGGGTTAAAAAAGGAGAAGCTGGCACAAGGGTCTTACAGAAATTAAGAAAACTGTGCATATGGTAAAAGATAACAGTCTAGAATACATATATGGTCGGAGGGAGGGATGAGGGGTAGGCAACACAATTGGATTTTATATTCTAAAAAATTAGTTAAATGTTTGGTATTTTTTTAAAAAAAGGATGTATATATGAAGACTTACATCAACAGCCTGTTGAATGGAAGTGGAACATGTTTACAACTGTTAAGGCTGTTGTATATAATATAATATATTGATATTTTACAGAAATGTGATATATATATGTATGTATGTGTGTGTGTGTGTATATATATATATATATATATATATATATATATATATATATATATATGGAGCCTCTGGTGGCACAGTGAGTTAAACTGCTGAGCTGCTGAACTTGTGGACCAAAAGGTCACCACTTCGAATCCAGGGATAGGGTGAGCTCCCACTGTTAGCCCCAGCTTCTGCCAACCTAGCAGTTCAAAAACATGCAAATGTGGGTAGAGGAATAGGTATCGCTCCAGGCAGAAGGTAACGGCGCTCCATGCAGTCATGCCGGCCACATGACCTTGGTCAGCGAGTGTGGTTGGGCCTGACCACCTGTTCTATCCTTCCCCCCGTCCCTTGCAGAGAAATCCTTTCCCATCAAGATCTCCTACGCGGCGTATCAACAGCACCTGACGACAGACAATATGATCGAGTTGACAGCCGTGTGCCAGGTCAAGGAGGGGACTGACACGGTGGTGTTGCGCAACATCGCCCTGGAGAACCCCACCGTCACCTTGAAGGCAAGCTGGGAAATCCCCTGGAGACCACTCATCCTGAACCTGGGGATTGTATGGTCACTTGTCCCACCCAGGGAGGTCCACAAGGGCCCCTGCCCCACTGTACTTCCTTGAGGACCACGGTTTGAGGGTGGCTGTGGGGCGGGACGGATGAACGGTGGTGGTCCTGCTTAACCAAAGCTTTTTCCCTGCTATTTCCCCCCCCCCCCCTCAGGTGCCGAGCCAAGCCAAGGTGGGCGAAGCGCTGAAGGTCGAGATGGTCTTCACCAACCCACTGGAAGAAGAGATCTCCTCTGGTGTGCTCCTGGCCGAGGGGAACGACCTGCTGGAGGACGAGATCATGAAGGAGTGAGTGGCCAGGGAGGGGAGGGGGGCATGACGTGGTGGGGGCAGCACAGCCCATTTGCCCAAATGACACGCACTTGGAAAGAGACAGACGGCCACGCACTGCCTGCACTGCTAAAGCCTAAATATGTAACTGTTGCCAAAACTCCCAGGCTCAGCTAGCCTCTTGGCCGTGGCTCAGCCAATCAGGTTTGTGCTTTGCCTTTTCAGTTAATACACTCCCCAACTGTTTTCGACCTGCCCGAACACTTTCCCCAGGCATTTGCCCTCAAGGGCTCAGCCGTGACTCTCCCCCAGCGGCCTTCCTCCGCTAACCCCGCTCCTTTGCTCCCCCCCCAGGGTCCCACCAGTGAAGGCCAAAGAGACTGTCCGTGTCTCCTTCGAGGTCACCCCCAAGAAGAAGGGCACCAAGCAGCTGTTGACCGTCTTCTCCTGTGACAAATTCACGGATGTCAAGGCCTTCGAGCTCATCAAGGTGGTCAACTGATCCTGGATGCCGGAGAGACCCCTCCCCAAAGAGAGGCTCCCCCAAAAGGGGTGGAGTAGATCCCAACACAAGAGATTGAGTGGTTTTGGGGGGGGGGTATGCTTCCTAGGCATCCCCAATGTCTGTATGGCTTTGCTTTAATAAAGGTTTTCTTGCTGCAAGTTGTGTGGACTCTTGTTGTCTCTCTTGAACAAAATGCCCCCCCCCTCCCATTTTGTGGGAGTCCTAGTCTTCGTAAAGCCCTTCCTTGGTTGCCAGCCTGGGTATCCCTGTGTGGACCCCTCCTGCAATGGGGTGCTGCAGAGCTGGGGTGGGTAGAAGGGAGCAGCCCAAATGGGTTCAAGGGACCCAAGTGTAGTCATTTCAGCTAGGACTGCGGTTAGAGGGTGTGTGCCCGGTGAGCTTCCGCTAAACCCGATCAGCCAGAACATAGAGCAAAGCATTCTAGGTTTGAAGGCAAACTACAGAGGTTGATTACAATTTGGCCAAAAGGGACAGATCCACCACACTCCGGGGCAGAGAGTTCCACTGCTGAACACCTCTCTCTCACAGTCAGGAAGTTCTTCCTAATGTTCAAATGGAATCTCCTTTCCTGTAGTTTTAAGAGGAAGAACTTCCTGACTGTGAGAGCCATTCAGCAGTGGAACTCTCTGCCCCGGAGCGTGGTGGAGGCTCCTTCTTTGGAAACCTTTAAACAGAGGCTGGATGGCCAACTGTCAGGGGTGATTTGAAAGCAATATTCCTGCTTCTTGGCAGAATGGGGTTGGACTGGATGGCCCAGGAGGTCTCTTCCAAATCTAGGATTCTATGATTCTATGAAGCCATTGTTCCATTGGGTCCTCGTCTCCAGGAAAGCAGAAAGGAAGCCTGCTCCCTCCTCCCTGTGGCTTCCTCTCACATATTTATTTATTTATTTATTTACAGCTTTTCTATTCCGCCCTTCTCCTCACTTTGCAGGGGACTCAGGGCGGATTACAGTGTACACATACATGGCAAACATTCAATGCCAATTTTTGACATACAAACATATACAGACATACACAGAGGCTATTTAACTTTTTCTGGCCACCAGGGGAGCTGTTGCTTTCATCGTCCATCTGCGACGCTGATGAAGCACTTCCGCATTCCCCGCATGCTTCCCCGCTGGAATGCTTTGCTGGAGTCTTCTTTATGGCCTCATAAATCAGTTAATTTAGCCTCCCTACACTTCAAGGTGGTACCTTATTTTCCTACTTGACAGATGCAACTGTCTTTCGGGTTGCAAAGGTTGACAACAGGCTAAACACAATTGGTTGGAAACCCACTCCAACCCAGGCTGGCTTCGGACTCATGACCTTTTGGTCAGAGTGATCTTAATGCAGCTGACACTCAGCCAGCTGCGCCACATAGCTATCATATCTCCTCTCCTCCTTCTCTTCTTCAGGCTAAACATACCCAGTTCCTTAAGCCGCTCCTCATAGGGCTTGTTCCCCAGACCCTTGATCATTTGAGTCGCCCTCCTCTGGACACCTTCCAGCTTGTCAACATCTCTCTTGAATTGTGGTGCCCAGAATTGGACACAACATTCCAGGTAAAGTGGTCTAACCAAAGCAGAATAGAGCATGGGGAGCAGGACTTCCCTGGATCTAGACACTAGGCTCCTCTTGATGCAGGCCAAAATCCCATTGGTGTTTTTAGCTGCAGCATCACCTTGTTGGCTCATGCTTAACTTGTTATCCATGGGACCCCAAGGGTACTGCTCTCAAGCCACGCGTCCCACATTCTGTATCTTTGCATTTCAGTCCCTTGGAGGAACGGCACTTTGACCGGCCTGGCCCTGCCTTTCTGACTTTGCACCAGGAGGGGGAAGGCCATCACCTGCTGACCCTCCTTTGGGAAGCCTCCAGGTCTTTGCAATACCTCACAGTCAGCACAAAAGTTTATTGCGGTCACTGACCAGCACAAGCGCCCTGGGAGGGGAAGGACAACACCCCAGGGAAGAAGTTATTTAAAAGAATAATTAGAAGACAGCTTAAAATCACATTTGAAAACACAGGGTATTGTAACAGCTATGGGGCCAAAGGGGGTGGGGGGGAGATTGATAGTGGAACTCTCTGCCCCGGAGGGAGTGTGGTGGAGGTTCCTACTTTGGAAGCTTTGAAACACAGGCTGGATGGCCATCTGTCAGGGGTGCTTTGAATGCAATATTCCTGCTTCTTGGCAGAATGGGGTTGCACTGGAGGTCTCTCCCAACTCTGGGATTCTAGAGGCTGGATGGCCATCTGTCAGGGGTGCTTTGAATGCAATATTCCTGCTTCTTGGCAGAATGGGGTTGGACTGGAGGTCTCTCCCAACTCTGGGATTCTAGAGCCTGGATGGCCATCTGTCAGGGGTGCTTTGAATGCAATATTCCTGCTTCTTGGCAGAATGGGGTTGGACTGGAGGTCTCTCCCAACTCTGGGATTCTAGAGCTGGATGGCCATCTGTCAGGGGTGCTTTGAATGCAATATTCCTGCTTCTTGGCAGAATGGGGTTGGACTGGAGGTCTCTCCCAACTCTGGGATTCTAGAGGCTGGATGGCCATCTGTCAGGGGTGCTTTGAATGCAATATTCCTGCTTCTTGGCAGAATGGGGTTGCACTGGAGGTCTCTCCCAACTCTGGGATCCTAGAGGCTGGATGGCCATCTGTCAGGGGTGCTTTGAATGCAATATTCCTGCTTCTTGGCAGAATGGGGTTGCACTGGAGGTCTCTCCCAACTCTGGGATTCTAGAGGCTGGATGGCCATCTGTCAGGGGTGCTTTGAATGCAATATTCCTGCTTCTTGGCAGAATGGGGTTGGACTGGAGGTCTCTCCCAACTCTGGGATTCTAGAGGCTGGATGGCCATCTGTCAGGGGTGCTTTGAATGCAATATTCCTGCTTCTTGGCAGAATGGGGTTGCACTGGAGGTCTCTCCCAACTCTGGGATTCTAGAGGCTGGATGGCCATCTGTCAGGGGTGCTTTGAATGCAATATTCCTGCTTCTTGGCAGAATGGGGTTGCACTGGAGGTCTCTCCCAACTCTGGGATTCTAGAGGCTGGATGGCCATCTGTCAGGGGTGCTTTGAATGCAATATTCCTGCTTCTTGGCAGAATGGGGTTGGACTGGAGGTCTCTCCCAACTCTGGGATTCTAGAGCCTGGATGGCCATCTGTCAGGGGTGCTTTGAATGCAATATTCCTGCTTCTTGGCAGAATGGGGTTGGACTGGAGGTCTCTCCCAACGCTTTTAAGAGGCTGGATGGCCATCTGTCAGGGGTGATTTGAATGCAATATTCCTGCTTCTTGGCAGAATGGGGCTGGACTGGATGATGGCCCAGGAGGTCTCCTCCAACTCTTTGATTCTAGGATTCTATGATAGGAGGGGTCAAAAACACTGGGGGGGGTAATAAAGGGGAAAGGAGGGACACATTGCAAGCCAAGTAGCATTTCAGCTTTAACATGTTGCTCTAACTCAGTGTTTCTCAACCTGGGGGTAGGGACCCCTGAGGGGGTCGCGAGGGGGTGTCAGAGGGGTCGCCAAAGACCATAAGTATTTTCTGATGGTTATGGGGATTCCATATGGGAAGTTTGAGCCAATTCTATCGTTGGTGGAGTTCAGAATGTTCTTTGATTGTAATGAACTATAAATCCCAGCAACTACAACTCCCAAATGTCAAGATCTATTTTCCCCAGGTTCCACCAGTGTTCACATTTGGGCATATTAAGTATTCGTGCCAAGTTTGGTCCAGATCCACCACGGCATGACTCCACAGTGCTCTCTGGATATAGGTGAACTACAACTTCCAAACTCAAGGTCAATGCCCATCAAATCCTTCCAGTGTTTTCCATTGGTCGCGGGAGCCAAGTTTGGTTCAAATCCATCGCTGGTGAAGTTCAGAATGCTCTTTGGTTATAGGTGAACTATAAATCCCAGCAACTTCAACTCCCAAATTACAAAATCAATCCTCCCCCAACCCCACTAGCATTCACATTTGGGTATATTGGTTATTTGTGCCCAGTTTGGTCCAGTGAATGAAAATGCATCCTGCATATCAGATATTTATGATTTATAACAGTAGTAAAATGACTGTCATGAAGTAGCAATGAAAACAATATTATGGTTGGGGGTCACCACAACATGAAGGACTATATTAAGGGGTCACGGCATTAGGAAGGTTGAGAAACACTGCTCTAACTACATTCGCAAGAGGGCAGGCCCATAGCCGGGGGGGGGGGGGGGGGCTTGAGGGGCTTCAGCCCCCCACTCCACCCCGAAATTCTCAGGGTGGTCCGTGAGAAGGCCTTACTTGTACATTATTTAAACTGTTATGTTTATTCATATGATCTGATCACCATGCTCAATATATCCCATATGCATGGGGGTATTATTGGGCTAACGATACAAAAGGTTTGCTAGGGTAGATCCTCAGCCCCCCCCCCAATCAAATTCAGCCCCTCCCCCCTTCCTGGCTACAGGCCTACAGTCAGGAAGTACTTCCTCATGTTCAAATGGAATCTCCTTTCTTGTAGTTTGAGGCCATGGCTCCATTGCGTCCTAGTCTCCAGGGAAGCAGAAAACAAGCCTGCTCCCTCCTCCCTAGGACTTCCCCTTACCTCTTGATCCCTGGTCCTCACCATGTCTCCTCTCAGCCTTCTCTTCTTCAGGCTAAATGTGTCCAGCTCTTTAAGCCGCTCCTCATAGGGATTGTTCTCCAGACCCTTGATCATTTGAGTCGCCCTCCTCTGGACACATTCCAGCTTGTCAATATCTCTCTTGAATTGTGGTGCCCAGAGTTGGACACAATATTCCAGGTGTGGTCCAATCAAGGCAGAATAGAGCATGGGGAGCATGACTTCCCTGGATCTAGACTCCTAGGCTCCTAGGCTCCTATTGATGCAGGCCAAAATCCCATTGGCTTTTTTTTGCTGCTTTTCGGCTGTTAGGAATTGCCGATACTCCGCAAGAAACTAAAGACGTGGCTGTTCGAGAAGGCGTTCGAACAAGAAGTGCAATAAATGGCAATGATGACAGGAATGGTACAACGGAAAACGATATTGG